GGATTGTTCATTGCCAAGTACATAGAACTATAGCTGATTATTTTTATGCTCTGATATCCTGTAACTTTGTAGAATTCATTTATTAATGCTAGTAGTTTTTTTGTGTATGTATTCCTTGGGACATTCTATACACAGGATAATAAGGTCTGCAAATAAATAGTTTTGCCTTTTCCTTTCAAATCTGAATGCCTTCATTTCCCCCCACCCCCCGCCTTTATTCCTTCTTATTGTACAAGCCAAAACTCCAGTTCATGTTGACTAGAGTGACAAGAGCACACATCCTGCCTGACCTTGTTCCTAATCTTAAAAGGAAAGCCTTTAGTTGTTCCCCATTAATATGATGTTAACTGGACCCTCCCTGGTGGTGCAGCAGGTTAAAGCACAGCACTAAGAGGCTAAAGCAAGTTCCACATGGGTTCAATCCCGCCTGCCCTGGAGCTGACCCACATGGCGCCGCAGACCTCTCCTGACCCGCCTATTGCTCCCCTCAGCAGTGTACTTCATCAAGTCAGCCTGTTTGGCTCCCAACTTTGTCTCTGGTGAAGCCTCTCACCACCCCTGCACCTCTGTTCTGTGTGCATAAATAAAAATAAAATCTTAAAGTAAAAAATATATATAATGTTAGCTACCTGGTTTTTATATGTGTTCTTTATCATGTTGAAGAAATGTCCTCCTGTTTCTAGTTTGGGGGAAGTTTTTATCTTGAATAGATTTTGTATTTTGTCATATATTTTAATGCATTGAGATGATCTTGAGGTTTTTGTCCTTTTTTAAATGTTTTAATAGAATAAAGAATATCTGAATTTTGAACCAACCTTGTGTTCCCCAGATGAATCCCACTCAGTCATAATATGTAATAACTATTTATATTGTTGGCATTTTATAAAGATTTTGTGTCAGTAATCATTAGAAATATTTGCCTGTAGTTTTTTAATTTTGTCATTTTTTGTTATGTGGGTAATATTGGCTTCATTGAACAAGTTGGAAAATGCTTCCTCCTAATCTGTCCTAAGTATTGGTAAGGATTGTTTTTAAATAGTTTTGCTGAGAATGTAAGGTAAAATTCTCCCATGTAAAGTGTGCAGTTCAGTAGTTTTAGTATATTTACAAATTTGTACAACCATAAACATCATCCACATTGTCATCATCCCAAAAGAAACCTTGTACCTATTAACCATCATTACTGTTCCCTCTCTTCCTTGCTCTAGACAACCACTAATCTATTCTGTCTTTATAGATTTGACTATTTTGGACATTTCATATAAATGGAATCATAAAGCATGTGGCCTTTTGTGACTGGCTTCTTTCACTGAGCATAATGTTTTTAAAAGTTCATCCACGAGATATATACACAGTGGAATACTACTCAGCAACCCAAAAAGATAAGCTAATACCATTCACAGCAACATGGATGGAACTAAAAGGAATTATGTTCAGTGAAATAATAAGTCAGAAGGCAAAAGAAAAATATCAGATGGTTCACTTGTAGGAATATAGGAGAATCAATGAAGACATGAGGGGTGGAGTAAGAATACAAAACAAAACAGACAGTTACAAACCAGAGACAATCTGCAGGGGAGGCAGAGGAAGAGAGATGGGATGGGGCTGGAAGGAGGGAGAGAGAGGAGCACAAGGCACTGTGGTGAGCCTGTACTGGTGAACTGGGGGAGAAATTCTATAGTGACTATACCTGAGGGGGATGGAAGGAGTAAACATTGTTTAAAAATGAATAGCAATGTAAA